ATTATTAGGCAGCCCTTGAAAATAAATACAGTCATGATCTGACTTCTGTTAAATGTTGTGTTTGGGGTAGGCTGAAGGGGCAAGGAGTGAAGCAGGAGACCAGGTAGGAAGAACCACAGCAAACCAGGTGAGGGATATGGCAGGGGCAGGAGCAGGCAGGATGTGGCGATCCCAGGTGTATTTGCAGTGTAGACATGATGGGTTTATCAACCCATCAGACATGGTGTATGAGAGAAAGAAAGTTGTCAAAGGAGACACCAAGATTTTGAACTTAAGCAACCGCAGTGTGAAGTTGCTTTTCATTGAGAAGGGAAAGGCTTGTTTAAAAATCATTCCTTAAAAATCTTTCTAAAATTCCTTCAGGGTCAACAAAGGCACATATCCCACTTTCATTTCTACTAATAGGAAAACTAGAGCACAGAGAGCCTGTCAACTGAGAGGCGACAGGAAAAACAATTAGTACCAAAACCCTGATTAGGATTTTAAGTCTGAATTCTAGGAGTGAAGCCAACTAGATCACATAACTTGCTGCAAATATTAAAAATAAAAATTGCATAACATTCATTTTTCCCCCAAGTTTTAATTATTCAATTAACTCCTTTGAATGAAACATGTAAAGAAATTTTCCACATGTCTTTCTTGCTCAGGCTTTGGGGCAGAGGGAATGGATTATTTGTGTGGACATATCAAAGACTCAAAAAATGAAAAAAAATATATGTGTGTGTATGATTGTATGTATCCTGCTCTCTCTAACATTTCATGGAAGTTCAAAGACAGAGTCTTTTGGTCTCTTTATTTGTATTACAGGACAAAGAAGGGTCACCTCTTCTACAAGCTCCTGGAAGGAGAAACAAGACCAGCATATTCTGAGCATAAGTGCAAATGACATCGGGAGTGGAGGGGAAGAGACACAAAGTTGCTCTCCCCCAGCCCCAGCATTTCCAAGGTTGCTGCTCAGCCCTGGTTTTGTAGAGGATTTGAAGGGGCCTTGTTTCTGAAGAATTGGATCAGCATCCCTGAGAAGAGCAGAGTGTTATTGTCCATCCTCCTTCCCAACCCATGGGGCTGATGGAACATATGCCCAACAGCAGCTCTCTGTACACAAAGTGCATAGGCAGAAGACAGTGATGAGAGAGGACCACCCTTGGGCCCTCATGCCACATTCCCTGTGTTCACAGCTCTTGTTCTTAGAGGTAGTGGAGAAACAGCTAAAAGTGTGGTTTCTTGCCAGGCTGAAGCCCAAGTCACAGCGAAAGCAAGAAGATGAAGTTAGGAGTGACCGCCCTTCGTGCTCCTCTGGAAGGAGGCCCCAGGGCCACCGTATGGGTCACCTTCAAGAGTTACGAATCATCCATGGAGAGAAAACAAACGAAGACACAAATTTGAGGAAATACAAACAAAATCTCCACTGGATCAAGTTTATTTGCAATATTCCTGTTAGGGGGACTGAAGGCAAATTTTGTGTGCTGTTTGATTTTGTGTGCTGTATGAGTTTGCTTAGTAGATATTATCATTTATTGGACACAGACTGTATGCTGTGCAGCCAGATGACTTCTTTAGACCTATTAAAACAAAACATTTGCTCCTCACACACAACCCTAACAAGGTTGGTGGTGTTACTCTGCCCCTGTTTTACAGGGGAGGAATCAAAGGCAACAAGAAGTGGTATCTACACCCTGAAGTTAGACTGTGCACCCACGTGGATGTGGAGTTGAAATACAGAACTGTAAGTTTGCTCCAACTGGTTTCTGGCTCCCACTTCCTGTACCTCTCCATCTAAGTCTGCTGAGCCAATGCCATGACCAGCTACATGCCATATTTTTAGTGTCATCATGCAGGTTCAAGTTAGGATAACGATAAAGAACTCAGAAGAGAGAATGACCACTGACCTCAGTGGGAGCTATCTTCAAAGATCTGAAAGCCTTTCACAGAAAAGGAAGATTAGAAATAAGATCAAAAGGGGGATACATTATAATAAGTAAAAGTTAATATAAGACAACTGTGTAATAATCAGAGCTTTATGACAATGAAGCTGGCTCTCTTGGGACCGAGGGAGGGTCCTGTTCTCTTAGACTGGAAGAGAACTAGTCAGGGATGCTGTAATGGGCAGTGGGCTGTTGCCCACAGGGCCTTCAAGTTTCCTTTCAGTTATAAGAGAACTGCTTATTCAAACTAATGGTCCAAAGCCTGGCGTTAATGGGATCTAGTTCATTATTTGATTTTTACGTTACCTATACTGTTTCATCTGGATCAGACCAGAGATAGGGGCAAAAGCCCCACAGGTGAAATTCTATGAGATCTTAAGTTCTCTGTAAGCAGAATGCTTAAATGTTCAGTAATGTTTCTTCTTTCTTGCAATTATTCTTTTGAGGAGGGTAACCAGAAATTGTCAGGATATAGAGAAATAATTCTTTCTTCCTGTATAGAACTTACTCAGAACAAAAATGGACTCATGTTGACAGGCAATGGGAAAATTTTCAGATAGTAAAAAGAACATGGTGGGATGCAGCTGCAGTTTCCACACTAAACTGAAAGGTGCCTGTGGCCTCGTTTTCCTCCCAATCCTAGGACTTCTGGACCATGATGTGGATGCTCAGAAAATCTCTGCAATCTTTGTTTTGTTTGGAAAGAAGGTCTTTTTTATTCTGGAGGGTGATCTTGTCAAAGTGATGTGTGCATTCATTCCCTACATCCTGCTGGTGTATAAGAATGTGCCTTTACCAGGGGAGAGGTGAGGGCCTGGGGTAGCAGAGCACAAGGGATTGTGCTTGCTCAGCTACACAGAAATTACTGAACTGGGATTGTCATAACGTATCGGTTAGTACTTTCAATTGAACCTTTTAAAATTGCATGTTTTAAGTGGACAATGTTTAGCAGCAATCTCCTAATATGCTATCACGAGTATCTCCTGGAGATGATTAAAGCTCCCGAGAGGAAAAAGCCATCTCAAGTTGCAGCGGGATGGCAGGCGGGTGTGGTGCTAGCTGTCTAGGGGAGCAGTTGTGCTGCAGTGAGAGCGCTGGGTCTGTAGTAGGAGCACCAGGCCTGATGGCTTGGACCCTCTGCTTAGTACCCAGAGTAGGAGTTTTCAAAATGTAAAGGGGAATGACCAGTTCTGTCAGTTTGTTCAAATGTTTTAATTTTCAATCCATCACAAGCCTGATGCCACTGTAAAATGTAATAAAAAATAAAAAATAAAAGGAAACCCTTTTTATTGTAAGACTCAATTTTGCTATGTCAGCATCATGAAGCTTGCTTTTGGCTCCTGCAGGGGAGCACCGAGCAGCATGAGTTGCTTCACCTAGGCTGCCACGGGGGCTCCCTCAGCCTTCTTAGATTATTCACATACTCAGTCTCTCTAGGCAATGTGAGCATTAAGATGAGAAAAAAGGGCCTCCCCTGGTGGCGTAGCGGTTGAGCGCTGGGCTGTGAAGCTGCCCGCAGCCTCTGCAGTGCCGGTTCGATCCCCGGCCACCGGCAAGGGTACCACGTGGCAAGCAGACCTCTCCTGCTGCCCGCTGCTCCCCTCAGCAGTGTACCTCGATCCCTCTGCCTGTTCTGTTCCCCGCTCTGGCTCTGGTGAATTCTCTCACCCTCCCGCATTTCTGACTGTACCCAGTGCTTGTATAAATAAATAAATCTTTAAAAAAAAAAAAGATGAGAAAAAAGGTGCATGATAGATTAAAATATGCCATCCAATTTTCAAGTTTTTATTGTGCTCATCAATACTAATAACACATGAAAATGATAGCAGGGAGTTGAGTATACTTTCCTTTTTTTTCAGTGGAGGTAGATAGGAATGTGAAGGAACCATGTCAGAATTTGAATCGACAACTTCCCTTGGAGTTGCTTACTTTCCAGACACACTTGGCTGAGTAGCAGGAAGCCATGAGGTCCAGAACTACAACTAAAAGCTCCTGATGTGTCTGTCTTGCCTCTGGCTCTGCCTGGCTAGGCATTGGGCCTTCCAGAATATTACTGTCCCATTTGCAGGCCACCACTCATCTGGGACAGGCTTCCAGGGTCCCAGCTCAGATACACCCTCCTGCCAGACGGGGACAGACAAACGCCTTCACACCAGGAGCCCTCAGTCACCTTTTGGGCACAAGGAGTGTGCTTTGCATTTACATGCTCTCTTTCTCTCTCTCTCTTAAACACACACACACACACACACACACACACACACACACACACGAGAGTTTTACAGAGTTAGCATAAGAGATCTCCCTAGGTGGAGGGGAGTCAGGGCCTCCCCTCCCGATGGCCTCTCCACAGATCTCCCAGCATCACTGCTCGGAAGATTCAGATGTTGTTGAAGAGAAGATTCTGGCTCACAGCAGTTAAGCAGACCATGGCACTCTGTCCCTCCAGCAGCAAGGTCAAGGCTGAGCCTCCCCGCCTTTCCCATCCCTAGGGTTTTCCACCAGCTTTCATCTTCTCTGATTTTACATCCGACTGTCTTTTCACATATAAAGTAGACACAGAATTAAGAGTACAGAAAGACAGGAAAGGAAAAAAGTTTCTTCCTATCCTTGCCCATTTATATTGCTGATTTATATGTACATGCTTCCAAAATATGCTAAGGCTTATAGAAAGAAGATACATATTCCCCTTTCTTTTTGAAACATGTGATTGTTCTATGGTTTGGTAATTGGTAACCATGATTCTCATCTCTACTTTCCTTGCCATTCAATTTTTGGTCTGATTTTTACTTCAAAACATTATTTATTTATTTATTCATTCATTCATTTATTCATTCATTCACTCATTTATATTTTCTTATGGCATTATTTCATTTTTGAACAATATTTGATTTCTCCCTCAGGTGGAATCCCCATAGTTCTCCCACCACCACCACGGCATCTGTGAACCATCACCATAGACCCTTGTGCTCTTCCCTCCCCTGTTCTAACCCCTCTACCCTCCTCCCTGCTGTTTGCCGGGCCCTTCACACTTCTCTGACAGGTCAAACCCCCACCCCCATTCATCCCCCCCATTACCTTTCCAGCCTCTGCATGGTCATGGCCAGCGTTTTGTTCAGTTCGTCTATCATCCGGCAGCCCGAGGGGTGCATGGGTAGGGAGCCGGTGGTGGAGGGGAGGTGCTGGCCCAGGCTGCCATATTGCAGCTGGTGCTGGATCTGGGATGGCAGGACTGTGTGGTGCTGGCCACTCTTCTGGGCTGCGTAGGATGCCAGGGAGAGGTCTGGTCCCCCGACAGGCATACAGATCATGACTTTCTTTGGAGGTAGCGGAGGCGACAGTTTCACTGGCAGACAAGGCAATTTCACAGGGGCGCCAGGATCTGCGGCAGAAGGAAGGTGAGAGGGAGGTGTGAGTTTCAGGCACCCAAAGAAACCTAGTATGCTACAGGGCCCAATTGGCAACTAGAGGCATCAAGATAGACACTGAGTTAAAGTGACCAAGGGAAGATGTGACACAGTAAGTGCCACTCTCTTCTGCTCAAAGCACAGGTCCCACGGGCCCCTGGGGACCTAGGCATCAGGGGTCTATCCTCTGCTGGGCTGAGGCCCACCAGCAGCATAAGGCGGGGCAGACACCATGGTCCCCTCTGCTCATGGAAACCCACAGACCTTCAAAGGGACCTTTCTAGGTTATGCTACCGAGTGCACAGTCTGCTATTATAATGTGAACATGTCTTTTCAGGTGGCACTTTTCCATAGGCGTGGGGTGAGCAGCCAGTCCTAGTTCACATCCCCCAATAGTGTGTCATCCACAAAGACTTCAGTGCTGCCACCTTCATTCTCTTGTCTATAACTTGGGGACAATCAGCCCACCTGGGAGGATACACCATCACACAGAGGGCTAAGGTGCTACCTGTGAGTGTGGTGACTGCTTGCAGCCGTGGTGGGCTGCTTGAGCAGCAGTAAGGCCCAATAGATATTTGGGGCTGGAGGAACCTGTACACACCAACCCACTGGTACCATACAGTAGAAATGCAGCTTCCCAGAGAGTTCCAAATTAAGGGGGGCTAAGGGTCAGACCAGCCCTCAGGGCATCTTTGGGATGGCCTGCTGTGCCCCCCACTTTCCTGGAAATCATCTTCCACCAGGGGATGGGCATGTCTGAGTCCCAGGCCTGCCCTGGAGAGGTGTGGCAGGGCCACAGGGAGATGTTGCCTGTCTGACTCTTGCCCTTTCAGGTCTTACATTTTTCTCCAACTCCCTGTCTGCTGTGGTGTGGCCTCCTTGAGTTTAGCTCACATTCCCCTGCAGGAGGATTTCCTAGCATGGGTCTCCCCTGGCCTCCTCAGACTCCTGCCTCAGCAAACCACTGTCCTATTTCACAAAGAAAACTCAGGTGAGCACTCATGGGCCTTCTCTCATGGTTACCCACAGAACCATTGCCTTGGTACAATTCCCTAAGCCATTGGATAGTTCCATGATCCTGGGCTTTTATTATTTTACCTCAGTTTAGATGCTTTTCTTCTTGGTCTATTCCTACTTTCAAGATTCAGCTCAAAAATGACCTCTCATGAAAAACTTTCCTTGCTGGTGACATTGCTCATTCATGCTGCACCCCTGCGCCTGCCTCAGGTATGTGGCACCTGCCTCAGGTATGCGGTGTACCAGCGTAACAGCAACAAAGGCAATGAATGACAGTGATAATGACAGAAACCCTGTACCATTCTCACCACAGGCTAGATATTGTTCTAGTGCTTTTCATATCTAATCAACATATCATCCTCAAAACAAGCCCATGACGTAGAGGCTGGCACTGGACTTGGGACACTTACTAGCTTGTTCTATAAACTGAACATAGCTCTCTCTTCCAGAGAACAAAGACCAAGTAATTTGTCACTGTATCCATAGCATCTTGTATAGCACCCAGCTTACATACCAAGAGCCTCATAACATGTTTATAGAAAGAACAGAAACCATGATGTTCTGTTCTAGGGTGAGCTCTTACCTTCCCCAGAAACATATATGTCTGGAGGGAGCATAAAATGGTTCACAATTTTAGGATCATCTAATTGTGGATATATGGACACTAAACTGCTGGAGATAATCCAGTAATTCCAGGGATCCTGATAAAAATGTTCCCCTAATGCCAATATGTGAACTGGTTATAACCACAAATCTCCCCCAATGCTTCTCCCAGAAAGCTCCCCCTGTTTGTTACGATCCCCATGCACTGGGCCCACGGTAACTATGTTCAGGAGCAGGACAAGTGGTGCTAGTTACAAGGTGGCTGAGACCCACAATCTCACCCACAATCTTTGCTAGTTTTCTGCTACTGAAGGGTCCACTCCTATGTTTCTTGGATTCTTTAGGTCAAACCCAACACATGTAGCATGTTTAGAGGTGTTAAGTGTCTTTCTCCAGGGATCCTTAACCCATGATTCCATTTTAGGGTCTGGTTGTCAAAGGCATGAGAGTGTTCATTAGCTAGGGCAGGAGACAGAGGGCTCTCCCCCCGGAAGGAAGAGCAATTACACTGGCTTCTACAATCTGGCTAGCCTATGACTTTCTGCACATTCCCCATGGAAGTATTTCTGACACTATTTTCAAGCAAGATGAACCTGGTTTCATCACTAGAGTAATGGCCAAGTGGATGCCACAAACTCTATCAAAACAGACAAGGGAGAAATAGCGAGTGGGACCAAATTAGTAGAGGGGATTACTTTCCTTGTCCTAGGAAGGACATGCTAGGATTGGGGAGAACCTCTTCTCTCCTGCCTGATCTGCACTCATGGTTGGTGATCATAAGTTAAATAGGGATAGAGAATGAAAGTGAATCATTTAAAAATATTTTTTTGGCTCAACTGATGTGGTAAGCAGGGAGGAATTAAGGAAATTGTCTGCTTTCAATGATTTAGCAATGCAGCCCCCATATTTCTCCAACACTGTGGCTAACTGAGGAGTGCCTGTACAGCTCAGAAAATAGCAAAACCTGGGCCTCCCCGATGGCGCAGTGGTTAAGTGCTGGGCTGCGAGGCTGCCCGCAGCCTCTGCAGAGCCGGTTCGATTCTGGCCCCCGGACGAGGGTCCCACATGGCGCGCAGACCTCTCCTGCCGCCTGCTGCTCCCCTCAGCAGTGTGCTTCTTCAGTCTGCCTGTTCTGCTCCCCGCTCTGGCTCTGGTGAGTTCTCTCACCCTCCTGCGCTTCTGACTATGCCCAGTGCTTGTATAAATAAATAAATAAATAAACAAATAAAAAAAAAGAAAATAGCAAAACCTATTTTTCTATCTTTGTGACATCTTAATTTTAAGACATTTCTCATAAAACATCTGGAGGAATGTATATAGCCTACAATTCTTTCTCTCTATGTTCTCTGGCCCCTTGACCACAACCCAGGGTCAGCTCCTTCTAAACCATCTCCCACCTAGTACCAGCCCTCCCCCTACAGGGCATGCTTGAGTTCCCATCATGGCTCCTGGCTCCAGTCAATGCTATAAGCCCACAAGCAGCTTTCTGGGCCCTGACAGTTCCACTCTGGGTTTCCTAATAGCCAGGCTCCTTCCCTCTTTGGGGCCTTGTCCTACCACCTGATGGTGATGATCACATTTGCATTCACCCTTCTTTCTTCACCAGTGACCCTGATTGTCAGCACCCCCATTTAATTCTGCTCAGACTTGTGCCAGTTACCACCAGCCACCCTTGTTAACGTTAACCTTGTCTTTCCAACTAGCTCCTGGATGGCTCCTCCCATGAACTTGGGCTTCCCCCACAGGGTGCTTTGATGGGAGAATTGGTCATGTTGCCTTATGCCTCTCAATCCCAGTGTGGCATGCAAATCACACTGACACTGACCCCAGTTCCACCAGATTCTACATGGGGATCTGTGTGTTTTTCAAAAGTCATAGTTAAAAACTACTCTTAGCCTCCTACTCTTGTTCCTTTTTTCTGAAAACAAAAAAAAAGGGCTCAATTTCTTTGTACAGTGTCAGTTCTTTGATGCATTCTTGAAATGTAATTCTGGTTTCGTTTCTTTCCTACTGAGTCATAATCTCTGGTTCGCTATTTGGATTTAAAGTGCTGCCTAGGAACTGACCATTCAGAAAGACTCGAACTCACTGATTAGGGTCCCTAAGTTGTGTGCAGGATGATGCTGCCTCACAATGAGCAGTCCCAGCACTTGGTGACCAGAACACTCAGCTCCACCCAAGCCCTGACAGATGCCCAGCCTGACATTTCCTCCAACACGTAAAAAGTAAGAGACCAATTTGATGCAAACGAGCTAATCAGATTTAATTTACCTAAGAGCTATTCACCTAACAACTAGCTTGCCTAAATCTAAAGTTTGCAATTATATGCTTTATTTTTAAGTCAATTTGTCTAATGACACTTCCAATTTAGTGTTATAATTATAAAAATCATTTATCATTGAGAATTTTGTGAGCAATAAGATTTATTTTACCCTGTGGTAGTCTTTTCAATCTTATTTGCTTTAGGATACTTTAAGGATATTTTGGACTTGTTTGCCTAAAGTTTTTCTTCAAATTTTGTCTCAAGCAATAAATGCTTAATCAAATGTTTAGCTTATCCTACAGAGTTAGTTCAATGCATTAGATTCATCTTGTGTCCTTCTTCATTTGTCCTATGTATACTGTAAGAATTCAAGCACACCAAAAAATCTACTTCATCCTCACTTGTGTTTGGTGAGATACTGACATTTTTGCACTAAGGTTGACAGAGTGAACTGAATGGATCCTGCAGACCACACACCTGTTCTTTGCATGATGTAGTATTTCTTAGGGTAGTGATTCTATCACCCTCAGTTGGGGGTGTTGCGAGAGGTGTATTCTTGGGCCTCATATTCAGAGATTCAGACTCATTAGGTCTACAGTGGGGAGCAGGGGTCTGCTTTGTAAATAATTTCCCAGACCACTCTGACTTAGGCGAGACCACACTTTGAGAAAGTGAAACAAGTTATCAAGGATAAAGAAGCAGAAAGGCTTCAGAAGCAGAAGATAAACTATAAAATCACACACTAGTCCAGCTCTATTAGCAACAGAAAATTGCTTCATCTCTTTGATGCTCAATTTTCCAGTCTGCGAGATGGAATGAATTAAATGTCATATTAGACTATTATGAAAAGCAAATAGAGAAAGTACATAAACACCAGTGCCTGGCACTTGGTTACACTGTAAATATTCAGTATAGTTCTTATTGTTCCTATTAGCATCACTATTGAATTGCTTCCTCAGGAACCCAGTCTGTCCTCACAGGAAGGGTATAGGTATCCACCACTGGGCTCTCATCAGCCCCAGCTCTCCTTTGTCACAGTACTGCATACAGAATAGATTCAATCCATTTTACTTTCTTGACTTGTTGCTGATT